TCCCTGTTCTCTGGCACCTGTCACATTTTTTAACAAAAACATTAGCATCTTTAAACAAGGAGGGCCAGTATAGACCTGACTGCAGCACTTTAGCTGCTGTTCTTGCTCCAGCAAAGTGTCCTCCATAAGGGGAGTTGTGGCATGGATACACCTTCGAAGTAATTGGTCAGAACACCTTTTGTAGAGCAAAGGGTCGTCCCAGAAATACTGCTTAGCTTCATGATGGAACCTCTTTCTCCCTTGGTGATTCAAGTGGTATGGCTCGATTCCGGCAGCCAGGTAGTTTGCAATATCTGCAAACCAAGGAGCTTGTTTTTCAGAGATCATCAGAAGCTGCTCATCAGGGAATGTCTCCTTGATATGATCTCCTTCTTGTGGCCTTGCTCTTTCTAATCGAGATAGGTGGTCAGCCACCTTGTTATCACTTCCTCTCCGGTCCTTGATCTCAAGGTCAAATTCTTGGAGCAACAGTACCCATCTAATTAGTCTTGGCTTGGCATCCTTCTTAGCAAAGAGTTGCTTGATTGCTGAATGATCAGTGAATACTGTGACTTTGGAGCATATTAGATATGAACGAAACTTGTCACATGCAAATACAACTGCCAGCATTTCCTTCTCCGTCACTGTGTAGTTGGCTTGTGCCGGAGTAAGAGTTCTACTAGCGTAGTAAACAGTTCTGAAGACCTTGTCTTTTCGCTGCCCAAGAACTGCTCCCAGGCCGAAATCGCTGGCGTCACACATTAGTTCAAAAGGAGGACTCCAATCTGGGCTTTGAATGATGGGTGCGGACACCAGCCTCGACTTGAGCTCCAGGAAGGCTGTCAAACATTTTTCATCAAAATTGAACTTCCTGTCTTGCTCCAGAAGTTCACAAAGTGGTTTGGCGATTTTGGAGAAGTCTTTAATGAAACGTCTGTAGAACCCAGCATGTCCCAAGAAGCTTCTGATCCCTTTTACTGTGGTAGGGGGAGGTAGCTTCTCAATTGCTTCCACCTTAGCCTTGTCCACCTCGAGGCCCTTGCTTGAGATTTTGTGTCCTAGCACAATGCCTTCTCTTACCATGAAGTGGCATTTTTCCCAATTCAGCACTAAATTGCTCTTGACACATCTTTTCAATACCTGTTCAAGGTTATTAAGGCAAGTAGGAAAAGAGCAACCAATGACAGAAAAATCATCCATGAAAATTTCTACTGCTTCTCCTACCAAATCAGTAAACAAAGCAAACATGCATCTTTGAAAAGTTGCAGGGGCATTACATAGCCCAAAAGGCATTCTTCTGAATGCAAACGTCCCAAAGGGGCACGTAAAAGTGGTTTTGTGTTGGTCTTCAGGAGCAACCGGGATTTGGTTGTATCCCGAATACCCATCTAAGAAACAAAAGAATTCTTTCCCAGCTAGATGATCCAGCATTTGGTCAATAAAAGGAAGGGGGAAATGATCCTTTCGGGTAGCATTATTTAATTTCCTGTAGTCTTGACAAATCCTCCACCCAGTTATCTTTTTGGTGGCTACTAACTCTTGTTTGTCATTTTTAACTACAGTAATGCCACCCTTTTTTGGAACGCATTGTACAGGAGCAACCCATTTACTATCTGAGATGGGATAGATTATACCTGCATCAAGCCATTTGATGATTTCTTTTCTTACCACCTCCTTCATATTGGGATTCAGCCTCCTTTGATGCTCTACAGATGAGCTGTCAGGGTCTTGGAGCAAAATCTTGTGCATGCAAATTGTTGGGCTAATTCCTTTGATGTCAGCCATGGTCCAGCCGATTGCTTCTTTGTAATCTTTGAGCTTTTGTGTGAGTTGAAGTTCCTGTTCATGGGTTAGCAAAGAAGAAATAATCACAGGGAGAGTGTTGTCTTTACCCAAATAAGTGTATTTCAGGTGTTCAGGTAAGGGTTTTAACTCCAAGGTAGGTGGTTGCTCTACTGAAGGCAGTTTCGGTCTTTGCTCCTGCTCTGATCGGTTTAAGGATTCAAAGACCCTTTCTTTCCTTCCCTGGGGTTGGTGGAAACTGATGGATGCAAGGTATTCTTCCAGCTCTTCAAAGTCCTTCATGCCTATCTCTGGCTGCAAATGCTCCTGCTGTTCTTCTCTTATGACCGAGTCAAGGATCGAAATGCTAGAGCATTCCTCAGTGTTATCTTCATCAAATTTTATTGCTTTCATGACATTAAACTTCACTTCTTCTCCGTTTACACTCATGGAAAGTTCACCCTTTCTGACATTTATGATAGCATCACCGGTAGCCAGGAATGGTCTGCCCAGAATTATTGGAACTTCTTGATCTGCTTCAAAATCTAGGATGATGAAGTCAGCTGGTAGAATGAACTTGTCTACTTGGACAAGGACATTCTCAATTTTTCCTTCTGGCTTGGCTATAGATCGGTCTGCAAGTTGAAGAGTGACTGTGGTTGGTCTTGCTGCTCCTATGTCAAGCTGCTTGAAGATGGAAGCTGGCATTAGATTTACACTTGAGCCCAGATCACAAAGTGCCCGACCAAGATAGTTCTTCCCAACTGTACACGGGATGGTGAATATACCAGGATCCTTTAGTTTGGGAGGAATTTTAGTCAGGTACTTGCACGATTGTTGAGAGAGAGCTACGGTCTCAAACTCTTCGATCTTTCTTCTTTTTGACAAAATGTCCTTCATAAATTTTGCATACGAAGGCATTTGCTCCAGAGCTTCTACTAGAGGGATGTTTATGTGAAGTTGTTTCATCAAGTCGAGAAACTGGCTAAACTGCTTATCCTCGTGTTGCTTTTTCAACCTCTGTGGAAAAGGAGGCTCAATCGGTTCACTCCTTCTCTTGCATGGGGGAACATAGGTTGGTACTGAAACTGGTTCACTGACTTTTGTTGCTCTAAGGTCTGCTACAGGTGTTGCGTCATCCGGTTTGATTTCAGCAGACTCATTGCTCTGGACCTTCTCTTCTGGTCATGTCCTAGCTTCAAGGTGTGAAGGGTCAGTGGCTTCTTCAGCTTCCTTTCCTATGGGCTGTTTTGCTGGTTCGCGCTTCCGAGGTCGTGCCACTAAATCTGGGGGTGGTAAAGTCTTTCCATCTCGTAGGCTTATAGCATTACAACGCTCCTGGTTATTCTGAGACGGATTTTCTGTGTCACTAGGGAGTGTCCCTGGTTGCCTCTGCTTGAGTGCTCCATCCAGCTGACCAATTTGGGTTTCTAGGTTTCGCATGGCTGCGCTGTTCTGATTCATGTACTCCTTGACAGAAGTCTCAAAGGATTAGGACTTCCCTTCACCCTTATCCCAGTTTTGTTGGTTCTGCCTGGGATACGGGGGTCGGTTCTGGTAGTTTCCTCCACTACCTCCAGCATTATTCTGATTCCTCCAGCCTCGGTTATTGTTCCCTTGATAGTTGTCATTGCTCCTGTTGTTGTTGTCATACCCTTCTGCATAGCATACAGCAACTAGATTGTTACAGTCCTCATATTCATGAGGACCTCCACAAGTGGGGCAACTCTGACTTGATTGAGTCAAGAGAAGTTGCTCAGTTGGTTTTTTTTGTTCCATGGGCTTCTAGTTTTTTATAGTGTTCTAGAGCGAAGCCATTTGTGCTGAAAGAGCATCAGCTGAGCTTAGCTCAAGGACTCCTGCTTTCTTAGGAGCATTGTGTCGTGAGGTAGGCCATGAAATATGTTTTTTTGAAAGTTTTTCCAACAACTGGTAGGTTTCTGGATAAGTAAAATCCAAAAGATCTCCCCCTGCAGCTGCATCAACAGTTGCTTTCAATGGTGGGGTTAAGCCATGATAGAACGTGTGAATGATGCCCCAATCAGAAACTCCATGATTCGGGCAAATTCGTATCAACTCTTTAAAGCGTTCCTACGCTTCATGCAGACTTTCTCCATCATACATTTGAAAGGAAGCTATATCAGCCCTCACTTGGGCTTGTTTTGCTTGGGAGAAAAATCGGGTAACAAACTATTCCGCCAATTGCTCCCAACTGGTGATGGAGTTTGGGGGCAATGTTCTCCTCCATTCTTTGGCTTTTCCAGCTAAGGAAAATGGGAAAAGCCGCATCCGCATGTTTTCTTCCGAAATACCGTGAACTTTGAAATTATCAACTATCTCAGTGAAATTGTCCAAATGACTGTGAGGGTCTTCCATGGGCAGTCCATGGAACTGACCAGCGTTCATAATCATTTGGAACATTGCAGGTTTTATTTCAAAGTTCGAGATATTCAAGGGAGGGGGAACATACCCTCGTTCTGGACCATTTCTGAAGGGAGCACCCATATCATTCAATGATGGCCCTCTTCCTTCATTCGGTCCTTGTTCATGCTCATGATTATGATTTCCATTGTTATCATTGTTTACAACCTCCTCCATTGTAATGTTTCTCAACCTTTGAATTCTTCTTCTATTTCTGAAGGTTCTCTCGGGTTCTGGATCAAAAAGTACTATTTCCAGTCCAAGTTCTGTAGGTTCTATGCTCATACAAATGGAAGAGGTCTATCAAAACAAAAAGACTGCAATTTAAACAACAAAAATGTTTCCTTAAAAATGCCCTTTCTTGCCAAATGATCCCCAGCAACGGCGCCAATTGCTTGGTCAAACCGAGAGCTGCTCGGGAATATCTTTTCAGAGAGTAAGAGTGCAGAGTAATAATCAGGATTGCCAACAGGAGCAATCTACTCTGACTAAGAGCAACCCTCTTCAACTATACGCAAGCGTACGTGTCAAGCAATATAGGGTATTGTAGCCCCAGATGTATCGTCCTCAGGGAGCAGTTGTGAAGTAAGAAGCGCTAAAGGAAACTTAATTTGTAAAATGGAGCAATAAAAGAAAGTACTATTCTCAGCTAAGCTTCACAAAGAGCAATCTCTGGGCAGCTAGTTAAACAATGCTAATCATTCTGGACCAGATGAGAGCAGTGAATGACTTAGCACGGTCATTGAATAAAAATGCATCAATTTAAGTAACTTCAAGAGCAATCAACGAAATGAAAGTAAGAGCATCAGCTGGTAAAACACAGTTCAGTTATTGTGAGGAAAAAGTTGTGATAGAACTTTGAGTTAAGATGAATTTCAGAAAAAGTCAAGTAGGTGTTACGGGTTCCATGTTTTCATCCCTTTGGTTAACCCTGCTTGGTAGCATAGTTTATAAGTGGATTTTGCTCCTTCCCTTGCTTTGTTATAGGTAAGCAGAGGGTAAGGCCTTACTCTCCACGTTACTCCATAGTACTTGGAGTTATATTCAAGGAAACCATGCTGCCTTCTCAAAAGAGCATGGATTCACATGGCAGTGCTCCCCATTTCAGGTGTTTCTCCCTCCTTTCTTCAGGCTAAACTACCCCAGGATCTTGATAATGCTCCACACGCCTTTGTCAGTGTTTCATCAACCGAGTGGTCCCGGGATGAGGTTGTCAGCCCAAAGAGTTTCACAAAATCAATAAATTAAACCAAAGAGCAACTCAAAATTCATTTATAAAATATGTGTTCCTTACAAAGTTATCCTAAGACAAAAGGGATTACTTCTATGGAACCCTCACCTACTTAGAGGAAGTTAGCTCCTAGTGAGTATTTTTACAAAAAAGAAAAAAAACAAAGAAAAATAACGAGTCCTAGGATGGGCGCTGATCCCCTTTCATGAGGATTGCTTGTTCCTTTCATAGGGTTCTTCATTTGATCTCCATTGTTCCTTTCATCAAGGGTTGTGCTTTGTTTAAATCCTCTCCAATGGTAGCTTTGCTTTTTGCCAGCTTGGCCTTAAATGGATATGGTCCCCCTTGCTTTTGGCTCCCTTTGTGAGTAGGAGTATCGGATTCAGGGAGGCACCTCCACTCCTTCTGCTGCAGCTGACGTGGCTGCTTTTGATTGATTGCTCAGCTCCTTTGCTTTCGTACTGTAGCAGAGGTAGCACCTCCACCTTCTCTGCTGTGGCTGACGTGGCGGCTTCCCATTGCTTCCTTTGACTGCTATTGTACTACAACAGGTTTTTCTTTTCCTTTCTGCGCAACACTCCTTCTTCTCTCTTCATTTTGTGGTTCCTTCTAATGGGCCTTAGGTGTCCTGAACAAAGCAAACTAACCCAATAGTCATATGTGAAAAAATAATGTTAAATTTGCTCCAGGTCTACCTTAATTTCCACTTTCGGTATTGCTCTGGTCCACTATTCAAAACAGTTGCTCTATATGAAAAGAAGAATGTTGAAGGGAGTGATTTATAACCAAACATGGGTTTTGTGGAACAATTTATATTTAAAATTTGTGCCTTTGTAATCAATTGGGCTATCAAGAAATCTCTCAGGTTTGAATTTTTCAGCCTCAATCCAATGCTTGGGGTCTCTTCCAATTGCCCAAAAGTTGACAATGACCTTGGTCTTAGCAGGTATTTGATATCCCATGATTTCACTACTCTCACTATTTTCTCTTGGAAGTAACATTGGAAGAGGTGGGTGCAGCCTCAAGGTTTCTTTGATAACTGAATTTAGATATTTTAGTTGGTGAGTGTCGGCCTCATCAACATCTCCTTTGCTACCACATACCCTTCTTACTTCAGCTTGTGCCTCTTGCATAACCTTTGGGTTCTTCATCAGTTCTGACATAGCCCACTCTATAGTAGTTGATGATGTCTCACTCCCACCAATGAACATATCCTGTCAATGATGGAATTAGCTCTGATTTGTCCAACAAGAATTAGGCTATTAGCAAATGCAGACACCCTCTATAGTAGTTGATGATCTTACTTCTAAGAGTTTGTAGCCTCTCAATATGGAAATCTCAAGATACAGTTCTACATCTTAAATTATGTATCTGCTTGACTACAATCAAGGATTAGAATTTCATAGAAAGCGAGTTTTATCATAAGTCTTAACACTCGGAAGGAGTCCCAAAATTTCATACTTCTGAGTTAAGATGTTAGAGAACTATGACAGTTGTCAATATTAGTTTTACCTTATAATAGTAATGGAAACAAAAATTTACTATAAAAGGGGGAATTTCCTTTTTACCATTACCAAGAAAAAAAAATGAATTCTTTTATGTGACATAAGATCATATGAGAGAATCTATCCAAATACAAATAACGGTGACAGAAAAATGCATTAGAATAAAAAATAACAAAATGATAACTGTTGGTTTGTATTTGAGCGGTTGAGATCTCTCATATCACATCATATCATAGGAGAGAATCAATTCCGAAAAAATGGGGGGTTTCCTTCAAATTAAATTTCCAAAACTAAAGTACTAAATACTGATTTGATAGATTTGGCTCCATCATAAACAAGGAGAACTACTCTTAAGAAAAATGTTCAGCATGTCAAGGAAAATAGAAAAAGAAAGTAACCACCAAAACTGAAAACAAAAATCAGACTAACCAGAAGAACAGCTCTGAGATTGTCATCAGTCAAGTGCAATCCAAGGTCATCTTGCTTCTGAATTGACAGTAGAACATCAACTAGATCCTCCTCTGATTCACAATGGCCCCTCTTGTTTTCTTTGTGTTCCTTGATGATGTTGTCCAGTATCCTATCAATCTCATTCCTAAGCCTTTGTAATTTAGCTCTAATCCTAGTAATAAATGGAAGCACTTTGATTGAAGGATAGAGATCAGCAACAGAGAAACCTCCTGCTAGATTTAATACTGCCTCTATAGTTGATATGAATGATTCTTGGTCTTTGCACTTTTTACCAATAATACTTCTAGCTGTTATGGCATTGGTCATTAAGAAAATTTCTTTACTTAGATTGATAACCGATCCTTCATTTTCAGAGATTGTTCTGATCAGAACTGACACCTCTTCTTCCCTTAAGTAACTGAATGATTGAACTCTCTTAGCACTTAATAGCTCTATGGTACATATTTTTCTTAGTTGCCTCCAATAGGCTCCATAAGGAGAATAGCCAATGTTTGTTGCATCATAAGAAATAATTGTGGCAGCTAGAAGAAAGGGCCTGTTTGAAAAGATAACATCATGTGTTTTCATAATCTTTTCAGCTATTTCGGGTGAAGAAACTACAACATTTGATAACTCTCCAAGTTGGAGGTGCATCAAGGGTCCATATTTGTTTGCCATGTCTCTTAGTGTCTGATGGGGTAGGGAACCACCAAACTGATCTATGTTCCCTATAAGAGGTAATTTTCTTGGTCCTGGAGGAAAATTCTTGGTGGGTTTCTTGGTATTTGATCTCTTGAATGTGTTTAGTATCAAGAATACGAAGCAAAAGAAGATGACGAGGGAAGTGTAGTTGATCCAAAGCTCCATGATATGAAAAAGAAAGCTATGTGGCTAATTTTGCTGAAAGTTTTTATTCTGAACTGCGTTGAGTATTGGGTTTATAAATTGTATCCTATTGGGAAAGGAATCAATTTTCATTATTGAAAAATTTAAACTAATTGTTTGTCTCTCTGTCGTTATCCGGCATCATTGTTTGTCTAGTACATGCTTAACTTTAGTATTGGGACTTTAATGAATGGACTGAAAGCAACCCAATCATTCCATAATAAGAATATGCCTTTTTCTGTTGAACCCTTGTATGCTATTTCTAGTAATGACACTTAGGGTGTGTTTGGTACAAGAGAAATTTTTTGGTGACCGGAAATCATGATTAATGGGAATTCAGTAGGAAATTGAGTTTACTTGGAATCTTACGAAAGAGAGAGGTGTTTGGTTCGCCAAAATATTACCGGGAATATTGAGTGAAAATTACTAATTCCATATTTGGTTTAGAACGAAATATGACTTGGAATATGAGGTTATTTTACAAAAATAACCCCAAACTATTTTTACTTTTGTAATTGATAGATTGGGTCTAGATTTTTATGTGTATTGAGTTATTTTTGTCTCAAAATTTATTGTTGTGCTTTCCCTTTTGCTTGATATTCTGATTGGTATTCCGAATTACCATATTATTTTTGGTAATCTGAATAGTGACTTTTCTTTATAAATCAAATTACCGGTAATCCTTGGATATCCGGGAATCGTAATTTATTCCTTCTACCAAACATGGTAATTACATTTACCAAAGAAGGATTACCGGTAATCCTCTTCAAAAACTTGAAACAAACACCCCTTTACAGTACGCCAAATATTTGAAACGGGATAGCCAGGAAACTAGTATGGTTCTCACCTTTGAGGGGGAAAAAATGCTTTCTGTTTTCTTTGTAAAATATGATAATTAAAAATTCAAAGGAAATCGATCAAGTGACAAGTTAATAAAGAGCAAGTTAAATGAGCTTACCAAAAAAAAAAAAAAAAGTTAAACGAAAATTATTTGGGGACCCAATTAAATCTTATAATTTGACTGATTCAAAAGATAATGAATTTAATTCATAAGAGTCGTGATTTACAAGAACAGTGTAAGATGTTAAAATTCAAAATTAAATTAGTCGATCCGTTTGTACTTCTGTCACATCTAACAAACAAGAATTATGTAAGTAAAAAGATTCAAAAAATGATTATCTCTTAGTTCATCTTAACCGTCTAGCAATCAACAATAAAATTATGAAATAATTTAATTATAAGTTACTTGCTTCTTCCTTCCTTTATTCTTTTAATCCATCTCTCTTTGATATCGCTCCCCTCCCTTCAAATAATATTATATCTTCTCCTGATTCTTAATATATTTTTGTTTGGTTAACAAACTTTTTATAGAAAATGGAATCACCTTCCTCATAAGCACTTAGAAATTATGGATAGGGGAGGCAAAGTCATGCATGGCAATAGACACCACTTTTTTAAAATGTTTTCATTTACAAATAAAATATAATAAAAATGATAAAAGATAAACTTACAATTCTTTCTTATATATTTTCTCATTATTAATATTATCAAATATTTCTCATTAGTTTCAATTCCTTAATTAGTACGTAGCTAAAGGTATTTTTTAATTTTTAAAAAAATTATAATTAATTGTTTAGTTAATTCATATTCAAATTTGATCTTTAGCACTTGTTTTTTGTTATATGATTATGACCCATCTTAATGTCCTCTTTAATCAACTGGCAAACGGGGTGATATCGGAATGAAGACTTTCTGCTTATATTACGTAACTTGGTTTGCATGACTGAAGGTGTGGATGTGGAGGGTGATGGTAAAGGAAAGGCACAAAAATGAGAGAAAATGGAGGCTATATTTTCCTGGAAGAGGACTTTCAATTATTATTATAATTGAAGTGATATTAAATTATAATTATTAAATGAAATGGGCTTTTAGGGGAAGGTCCAATTAGTTCTTATGAAAAATATACATGAAATTTGTGAAAAAAGAAGGGAAATGATGGACTTACAGTTAGCTCATTGTACATGGCCCAACTATTGATTCAAGAAGCTCGAAGTCGACTAGAGTTGTGGCCTAATAAGAATGACCCAATTGTTAAAAAAGGCAATGATTTGAAATATAACAAATTACAATCGAATCCAAGTCCCAATAAAGCAGCTGATGTGATTGTGATTTGTTTGTGAAAAAAAAGGAAAGCAACACATTTGGCGTGATTTGAAATATACGATTTGGGACGTATTTTGAATTATTTAATTGTAATTATTTATTTATTACTGTTATATTTATTTTAAGAAGTTTTCTTATTTTTAAGATTTTAGATTTTTGGAATTTTGAATCAATTTATAATTAGTCTGTAAAAGGGTACTTGTGACCCTTATTCTAGGAGTTGAATTTTGTTATTTGATAATTAGAAATTGAGAACCAGAGGTTACTCTTTTATGAAAATCCTAACTTTCTGTTTAGCCAACTTTTCTATGCGCTTTCGGCATCATTTGGTATCAGAGCACTAGGTTACCTTCAACCAATGGCTGAACAGAATCATGGAGATCGACGATAGCGGAGTCACGAGGGTAGGGAACGTGGATTCATTCCCAAAGAATATAGACAACTGCGACAGATTGACCGGCGAGATATAGAAAATGAAGAGCTCGGAAGGCGGATCCAGGATTTGAAGCAACAACTTGAGCAGCATTCTGTCATTCTCGCTGGGCTGCTTAGCTAGAATGGTTGACCATTCAAACCCTGTCATGTGTCCAGTTCATTCCCGCTTGTTAGACCAGCGAGGTTGTGACGTGGCATTTTGGCAAAAAAATTTCCTGGCGTGACAATTCGGTAAATTTTTATTAAAGAGGTGTCAGTTTGGTCAATGTCCCAAAACATACCGGGTTTTTTTTAATGTCTGAAACATGTTATGACAATTTATCTTGTGAGAACTTATTTTCTACTGACATAAGCCTTTTCTGTCGTAATATTAAACTGAAATGTTTCATGCAATTTATGATGGCTAAGTAATGATTTTACTTATTGTTATTATTATTTCTTTTTATTTAGGGATTAAATTTTATTTTACATGAATTTTGGGATATAATATTGATGGAATTAAATATTAATAAATACAATATAAAACAAATGCAATCGTTTAATTTAAACTCTAGAAAAAGCTGCATCTTTAAAAGGTGTTTGAAACTGCCACTGTAAATATTATTAATTTATTTAATCAATTTATTCCATGGCGATTTTGTATGTGACAATGGCGTTTCTGATTTAACGGCAGTTATTCTGTCGATTTTAAAAAATCGAAGTAGAATTATTTAATGGTGCCAAATCCAATGTCGGTTTTTAAAATGACACAGAATTTTTTGGCGGTGGTTTGAACGGATGCCAAGCATAAAATAAACTGCCACTGAATCCCTTTTTTACTGTAGTGATCGTGTTATGAAACTAAAGGATAACTAGAATATAGTAAAGGCAAGAGAAGGAAGAGAGAGTGAGAGAGAGAACTAGGACAAAATGAAAAAGTGTTATAAATAATTTATTGGCTATCCATAGCTGTTATATAACTGTTATGACTGTTGAAGACGTTATGACCGATAGGGACGGTATGACTGTTGAATACGTTATGACCGTTGGAGAAGTAATTGTAGTCATTGTGTAACACCCTGTAGTACTCCGGTTGTTAACATACATGATATTTAGCATATACAGCGGAAGACTTTATTTTAAAAGAATGATAAAACGTCTTACAAAAATACGAGTAGACTTTTTCCAAAACTTTTTCTGAAAACATTTCTAAAAACGTTCACGTGAGATACTGCGAAAGCGTAAATCTAAACATACAACTACTAATTAATCCCATTAGCCAGTATTAATAGCCATTGACCATCCGGATATGACATCAAGTGCCATTCATGCCGGAGTCTCACTGACAGCATAACGACTGTATTTCGTATAGCTGGGAACATGGGTCCCACACATACAGTTAACTTGATAGATACAATAATTTAAACAGATAGCTTGCAAGTCCCACATGAACTGCAATCCCCTCAATGGGCCAATACGAAAAATAAGGCTCCATGCACAAATTAACGGAATGCATACATCAAATCTATATTAATTCTAAAACATAAAATCAGTGAATAATCCATGGCTCTAAGGATACAATCATGAGCCCTAGATAAATACATAACAAAATCTCCAAATAACAATAATTAAGCATGTTAACAAATCTACATGTCATCATATAGTCTAAACATAATATAAATAATCAGCTGCATTATCAACTACTCCAATGCGGGGGCCTTGCCCCTAGAAGCATCACCACTGCTCTGGGTACCTGAAATGATGTCCCCAAACGGGGTGAGATAACAACATCTTAGTAAGCTCAAGGTTCATAGAGGATCCTCTAATCCCCTGAGCCCACTTCCTACATGTCAAGTCAGATATAAAGCATATAATACAAACATAGAGCATAAACATAGCATCATCATATCATCCTTATGTAACTCCAGGGTCAAAGCCATAGACAGTTACACCTGTGTAACTTCAAGGGTCAAGCCATAGACAGTTACACCTGTGTGACTTCCAGGGTCAAGCCATAGACAGTCAACACAATATCTGTATGATACAGCTCCCAGAGTCAAGTCATAGGCAGCCTACATACCATAATCACTGGTCAAGATCCTCATAACATATATCATTAGTGCATCATCATAACATCAAGATCATATAACATCTATATGCATGTGAATGATGCACATATACATCATACCATATACTTTCATACAATACAACCATAATGCCCACCATCATAGTGGGGTCACAAGAGAGAGGAGTCAACTAGAACTAGGAGCTTACCTCAGGGAGATTAGCACAAGCCCACACTCCAATAGTATATGTATGCTCCAACAAAATCCTCAAGTGCACGGTTCTCTAGGCACACCTAGAGTAAGAACCATTCTCGTAATTAATTACATATTAATTAATCA